CACGTTCTGAATTGTGTTTGTGGCTGGAACTGGTACCAGTAGATCAAAACACACCACACTCTGTACCAAATAAAATTCCTGGGATCCATTGCAGTGAAGGGGTACCATACATATAACTGGCTGTATCAAGGTTCTGTCTCACTGTGGTTGCTGGTGCCCTACCTAAGCCAAAGGCTTTGGCTGAAGTCTTATTCAACTCTGACACAAAAACAGTGCCAAGTTACGTGTTGTATGTATTGGCCATCAGACCCAAAAAACATCTGGTGTGAATATGAGAAGTTCATTCCAAATACCATTTATTATTATTATATTTTTTTTGTTGTTGCGTGAAATGTGACACTGTCTCAGATTACGATATGAAACCCATAAAACAGAAGCTGCAGAGGCATCAGTCTTTATTTGTGTCCCTAGAGTGTGTGTGCTGTGAATACTTAGTAGATAACCTTGTTAAGGATGACTTTGACATTAATATTTTGTCCTCACTTCCTCTCACGCCTCTCTGTCAAGGCTCTCCATTTGGCCAGGAAAATGTATTTGTGTCTGTTTTTCCACCGGAGAACTGCAAGTGAAACGCTGTGTGCCTGGATTTCCTTCTGTTTCTTTGGGGGGGAAATGCTTATACAGTAATCTGCATTTGTGCGTTTGTGTGTTAATGCGATCGCAGGCATTGATGGCGTCTGTGAATGAGGGGTGTCACAGTCCAAGGACCTGAGGTCAGTTTCACGGTGGTTGTGGTCACAGCCACAATATCTAGGCTCTGTGGGTTGGTCTGTCAGATACCAGACACTTCTTAGGTCCAGTAAGCTGTAGGAGTCAATGAAATTTGGTGTAAGGGATAGAACATAATATATTCTGAACATATATTCTGAATGGGTGTAGCTGTCAGCATTTTACAGGTGTGATTTACATGGGCTTAAGTGATTTTATTCTTTCCTTAAACTTTGTATAGGATGTAAAACACCGTAGGTTAAATTCTTGTTTGGCTGTAAATCCTGTACATTTGGGATTTCACCTGTGAAAAGCAAGGAATTTATTTTATGAAAAAATGACAGAGCTGGCAATGAAAAGGGAGCTGTGTATATTGTCTTCAAAAAAACAGTGAAACCATATTGCTGCTGTAAGGTGAAACCTATTGGTTTAAATTCTACAGCAAATACGCCCTGACAACTTTGCCCTGTTTTATCGTCATGTTGGTTTGGCCTTCAGCAAAGATTGTCATGGAAATTGCTTGGAATCTCAGCCCTCGATACGAATCTGTAACCTGATGGCTGATGGCTGCACTGACTCATCCTGGTTTATATATTTATATACCGCACCCAGTAGCCCTGGTAGTAAATCATCCATTTAGGTAATAGAAATAGAAATAGCTAATAGAAAACGGCTACAAAGCTTCTGTCTAATTGAGCTTAAATCTTTTAGGGATTCTGATTAGTATCTAATTACTGTCTTTCCGTATATATTAGTTTTTTTTGTCTACGTATTGGTTTACAAAGACCTCTCTGCAAAACAAACTGAATTTGTGACAACATGAGAAGTGGCTGAGAGACTAGTCGAGGTCTGTTCTGGTTAGATACGCGGGTGTTTTGCTGGGTCTCTGTCCACCCTCCATGGAGCCGCCCATACAGTCAGGTGAAGTAGGACAGGCGAAGAAGAGGCTCAGGAATCTGGACAACAGACGAGCTCAGAAACTGTGGCCTGTTTAAAATGCCCCAGGACCGCCTCCTCTGAAGATAGTAACCCAAAAAAGTAATTAAAGAAGACCCAATCTGTACTTTCTGCTGGAAACAAATTAAGCCCTCTTTCATTAACACCTCATCACGAGCAGCCTCTGTCATATTGAAAGAGAGCTTGTCCCATTGTGGGCCTTGTTCAGATTATAATTCTACGCATTTATTATAACTAATCAAACCGCCCTAGGCTTTCTGCAAAGGTCAGTTTTGAATATGAGTTTTGTGTGTCAGTTTTCTTTTAGCTGGAACCCTAATTCTCTGTGCGGCGAATGTGCACATTGTACAGACTTCTTTGTTGTTGACAAAGCAGCTGAAAAATCGCGAAGATGATTTTCATGTCCACCTTCGACAGCTGTAGAGGACTTATTTCTCTAAGGGGATATCTGGAAAGTTATGGCGAGAATTAAGATTGAGGGTCACAAATAGCAGTTGTTTCCAAACCATGAGTGTCGTTTTCTGATCACAAGACTATCTTTAATTTAGCTCAAAATACACCTGATGCCTTTTCGAAAGAGAAGGCTGTGATAGACAAGGTCATATTTGACTAGAAAAGCAGTGCATGCTTTAAACCTGTAACTTAAATGATACAAGCAGCAGCTTTGCCCTTGTTAAGTACAGAAGATGTATTATCATGTGGTCATGAATGGTCATGTGGTCATGAATGGTCATGTGGTCATGGATGGTCATGTGGTCATGGATGAAGGAAGAAGACTTTCACACAGGCATTTGATTATTAGCACTGCATCAGCAAGTAAAATCACTGTACTTCAGCACTAGTAACCTTAGATAAAATGCTTCCTATGTAACTGAGCTAATTTATTTGATTTATTTAGCCAGTATGTCTTCTTTAACACAAATAGCATTAAAGACAGAGAAGACTGGGTGTCTGTGTACAGGCTCCGCAACGCCATTTTAGCCTTGTGTGGCTAGGAGGAATATAAAACACAAATTTAGCTAGCGTCTCCTTTGGTGGGCCCCCCCCCTTTCATCACTCCATAGCAGGGCTCCCCAAGAGCCAAATTCCATCAGCAACACAATGCCAAGGTCCACTGTGACTAAACATTTGCCAGCTGAGGGGAGGGGTTTCCCCAGATGATAAAATCGGGGTGGGATTGCAGACTGGGTTGTGGTTCGGTCTGAGTGTGGACCACAGTCCACCAGTAGGTGACCACTGCTGTACAGCGATGTCTCCTGTCAGCTGGACACTGTAGATTGAGACTGAGAGTGTAGGTGGGGCTGACTATCTGGTCCTTCCCTCCTAAATGCCTTTGCTGGTCCTACTGTTTTCTGAACCATACTCCCCTTTTTGCCTGATGTCCTTTGTGTTATTTCTTCACACTGTACATTATTAAGCTGGTCACTCTATTGTGTTTCTCCGAGATCCCCTGTGACAGCTCCACTGTTGCAGGAAGTGCCAGTCAGGATGATGGGTAAGCAGTGATCAGATGCCCTGCCGTCTGGCCCATGGCACGCAGGTCCTTCTGCATGGTTTCCTCCTTTGCTCGCTCAGCTTTCCCACCGTATGCCACTGGACCACCTCTGCATGCCAGCTCTCCATTCGCCGTGCAGATGTTAGGGAGGAGGCTGCATTGCTGATTAGCCAAAAAGCTGAAAGAGTTGAGAGTTTGAGGGTATCTTCCTGCACATTCAAATCATTCAACCTTCAGAATAAATTCACATTATCATCAAGGTATTTTACTTTTGGCATCAGTAAATAATGATAGAATGGGACCTCAGGGTAGTAGAGAATGGCAGTATGATCAGGTTCAGGCTGACATGCTGATTTTGTTTGTGTGCGTTTGGGAGAGAAGTTTGTTATTCCCATGTATGTGGGGATATCAAGGTCACACCTGTGCGCACATGCTCACCGGAGTGCGAGGCAGCGGCTCTTTACTGCCATGCAGCCCGGATACTGGGAGTATCCCTCCTCCGACCACCTGCCACTCCTCTTCCCCTGCCGCTGAGCCACCCCTCCCCCCAGACCAGCCTAAGCCTGGCGTGCAGCCACACCACCCTGTTTAATAATTTATACCTTAAACCAGGGGTTCCCAACCCCTTCTCCATGGTACTGGTGCTGGAAACGGTCCCTGGTCAGTATTCTACTGGGTCGCAGAACACTGGGGGTTTGGGTTTGGGAGGAGGGGATCCAAAAGCAAAATATGTATTCTCAGACCACACCGTTCGTTTTTCAACCCCTAACGTTTGTTCGTTCTGATCATGTCTGAAAAAATTACGTAAATGGTCAAACTTATTAAATCAGGCCTCCTGATCAATCCAGCAACACCCCAGCTGAGAAGTTTAATCAGCGTGTCAGTTGAAGACGCAGAACTTCTACATTAAACCACAACAGGAGGGGGGATTTTAAGAGACTTTTCAGTATCAGACAAATGCAGCAGGACATCTGCATGCAAGCTGTTTAAGGGTACAGTTATAGCACCAAGGAGCTCACTTAACCCACTACAAAGTACTTGGCTTATGTAGGACCTATGTCATAGTTATGACCCATTTATATTTGAAGTACTGGATTTATAGCTTAGACTGGCACAGTCTGTCACACTGCAACCTCGTGCATTCAGGGTCATCATGGGTCTCTGTCCTGCCCCTCTGTGTGCAGAGTCTGCATGCTCATGTGGAGTTTCCATTCTCTGCCTATTCTGCTCACAGCTCCTGCAAGCAATTTAGGAAAACTGACATCTGTATGGTTCCCTTACTTAATTATGTTTGTGCACATAGACCTTCTGAATTAGCATCTTGTCCACGATGCTCCTTCCCTTGTGCCCTGTGTGTCTTGAGAAAGGTGTATTAATTGTTAACTATGACCACAGGAAAATAATTCTTACACATTAGCATCCCCTCTGGGATTTGAGCCAACGACCTGCAGTGATTAAGTTTACAGCCTTAACACCTTCACCACGTAGTGATGCAAGGCGAAACCACTTTGCTGCTGTCTCAGTAGGTGTGTGTGTGTGTGTCTGTGTGTGCATGCGTGTGAGTTTGTCTGTGTGTGCGTGTGAGAGTGTCTGTGTGTGTATACGTGTGAGTGTGTTTGTGTGTGTGTGCGCGTGTGTGCGTGTGAGTGTGTCTGTGTGCGTGTGTGTCTATGACACAGAGCAGTTGTGCTTCATCCTATGGGGATACTGTCAGAAAACAAATATGAAGTTGTTTCAAAGTACATTTAAGCTGAAATAAAATCGCGTTTCATTGAGTTGTGAGAAACTTGTAAAATGTTTTCAATTCCTTCCCCTCCCCCTCTGCGTCTCTTTCTTCCAGTGGTGGTCCTGTACGTGCAAGGTATCGGCACTAAAGAATGGAGGGAGGTAAGTGCAATCAGTTCACTTTAAGCTGACCTCTGAGTTTTATTGCGCTCGCTGCTTGACACTGTGACCTGCTGCCTTTGCTGTGACTTATTCTGCCGAATTAAAATGTCCTGGCCACAAGTACGTGGAGAAAAACAGGAAGAAGTCGCTCTGTTTGTTAGGGTGTTTATTAATATTCTTTAGGAGTACCAAGATGTTTAATTGATGCTCAGCTACATGTTGAATTATGAATAATGGAGGCGGCGAAAGGATGCTTGGCATCACCCTCACTGCCGCATCAGACGGTGGAGTCTGGGGTCAGGGTGGAGTTAATGTGGCGACCACTGCCTCATGCGGTTCCACACTCAGGAGGGGCTTATGAAATATTCACAGATGGCCCCCGCCCCCAGAGGAATGTGTGTGTGTGTGTGTGTGTGTGTGTGTTTCATGGAGAGGGCAGCTGCCCGCGTCAACCTGTGCCGCCGTTTTGGGTCTGACAGAGGGCAGCCAGGTCATTGGCATGGGCTTTATTTTTAGGGCAAACCAGCTACGGGTGGCCAGGGTGGGCACCAGCCAGGAGGCGAGTAAACATGCCCGTTAAAGAAAAGCACTTGGGAAACAGGCAGACCTGATCTGGGTTTTGAATTGATAGAGCAAGCATTTGATTCCGGTCACAAAAACCGCAAACGTTTTTGAGCCACTGATCTGTGTTACCATAGTGTTCTTACCAGAGAAGCTACGCTCAAAGTATATGCACTGCTCAAAAAAATGAAAGGAACACTTTTTAATCAGAGTATAGCATCGAGTCAATTTAACTTCTGGGATATTGGTTTGGTCAGTTAAGTAGCAGAGGGGGTTGTTAATCAGTTTCAGCTGCTTTGGTGTTAATGAAATTAACAACAGGTGCACTAGAGGGGAAACAATGAGACGACCCCCCAAACAGGAATGGTTTAACAGGTGGGGGCCACTGACATTTTTCCCTCCTCATCTTTTCTGACAGTTTTTTTCACTAGTTTTGCATTTGGCTACAGTCAGTATCACTACTGGTAGCATGAGGTGATACCTGGACCCTACAGAGGTTGCACAAGTAGTCCAACTCCTCCAGGATGG